GCAAGTCAGGCTATTTCTGATCTCAACGTTATTTCTGTTTTTACGACACGATCAATACCCTTAATGTCAGGTCGACAAAACAACAGCTTTAGCAATTTATCTCATTTTTTGCTCCCCAATATAAGACCTTTTCCAACCAGCATTGTGTGTGTATCTGGTTCCTACTTTACAGAGCATGTAAGTGCCTGTTTTTTCACTTTACAGAGTATCAAACATACATCTAGTTCCTTCTACACAGTGCTTCAAACAACCATATAGTTCCTTCTACGCAGTGCTTACACAGTACTACAAACAATCATCTAGTTCCTTCTACACAGTGCTACAAACAAACATCTAGTTCCTTCTACACAGTGCTTTAAACAATCTAGTTCCTTCTACACAGTGCTTCAAACAATCTAGTTCCTTCTACGCAGTGCTTACACAGTGCTTTAAACAAACATCTAGTTCCTTCTATGCAGTGCTTACACAGTGCTTTAAACAAACATCTAGTTCCTTCTATGCAGTGCTTACACAGTGCTACAAACAATCTTCTAGTTCCTTCTACACAGTGCTTCAAACAATCTAGTTCCTTATATGCAGTGCTTCAAACAAACATATAGTTCCTTCTACACGGTGCTTCAAACAAACATCTAGTTCCTTCTACGCAGTGCTTCAAACAATCAAGTTCCTTATATGCAGTGCTTCAAACAAATTTCTAGTTCCTTCTACACAATGCTTCAAACAAACATATAGTTCCTTCTATGCAGTGCTTCAAGCAAGCATCTAGTTCCTTCTATGCAATGCTTAAAACAGACATCTAGTTCCTTCTACAGTTCTTTAAACAGACATCTAGTTCCTTCTACACAGTGCTTTAAACAATCTTCTAGTTCCTTCTATGCAGTGCTTCAAACAATCTAGTTCCTTATATGCAGTGCTTCAAACAAACATCTAGTTCCTTCTACACAGTGTTTCAAATAAATATCTAGTTCCTTCTACACAGTACTTCAAACAGACATTTAGTTCCTTGTACACAGTGCTTTAAACAAACATCTAGTTCCTTCTATGCAGTGCTTCAAACAGACATTTAGTTCCTTGTACACAGTGCTTTAAACAGACATATAGTTCCTTCTATAAAATGATTTAAACAAACATTGAGTTCTTTCTAAACAGTGTTTAATCAAACATCTAGTTCCTATGTTACAGGGAATCAAACAATCGCTGGTGCTTATTTCATAGAGTCTCAAATTAGTATCTAGATGTTTCTTTACAGTCTAATTACTACTTCACAGTGTCAAGCAAATGTTTAGATCAAGACACTGTGTGTTTGATTCCAACTTCGCACAGCACTACACAGTGTTCTGGTTCCTTTATCCAATAGCATCATACTAATGTATTGGTTCCTTTATCATATAACACCATACAAATGTATTGGTTCCTTTATCATATAGCACCATACAAATGCATTGGTTCATTTATCATATAGCACCATTCAAATGTACTGGTACCTTTATCATATAGCGCCATACAAATGTACTGGTTCCTTTATCATATAGCACCATACTAGTGTATTGGTCCCTTTATCATATAGCACCATGCAAATGTATTGGTTCCTTTATCATAAAGCACCATACAAATGTACTGGTCCCTTTATCAAATAAGTTCAATAGTATATTGTTATTTGATAAAGGGACCAGTACATTTGTATGGTGCTTTATGATAAAGGAAACAATACATTTGCATGGTGCTATATGATAAAGGAACCAATACATTAGTATGGTGCTATATGATAAAAGAATCAATACATTAGTATGGGGCTATATGATAAAAGAATCAATACATTTGTATGGTGCTATATGATAAATGAACCAATGCATTTGTATGGTGCTATATGATAAAGGGACCAATACTAATGTATTGGTTCCTTTATCATATAACACCATACAAATGTATTGGTTCCTTTATCATATAGCACCATGCAAATGTATTGGTTCCTTTATCATATAGCACCATACTAGTGTATTGGTCCCTTTATCATATAGCACCATGCAAATGTATTGGTTCCTTTATCATAAAGCACCATACAAATGTACTGGTCCCTTTATCAAATAAGTTCAATAGTATATTGTTATTTGATAAAGGGACCAGTACATTTGTATGGTGCTTTATGATAAAGGAACAAATACATTTGCATGGTGCTATATGATAAAGGAACCAATACATTATTATGGTGCTATATGATAAAAGAATCAATACATTTGTATGGTGCTATATGATAAATGAACCAATGCAGTTGTATGGTGCTATATGATAAAGGTACCAGTACATTTGAATGGTGCTATATGATAAATGAACCAATGCAGTTGTATGGTGCTATATGATAAAGGTACCAGTACATTTGTATGGTGCTATATGATAAAGGAACCAATACATTAGTATTGGTCCCTTTATCATATAGCACCATGCAAATGTATTGGTTCCTTTATCATAAAGCACCATACAAATGTACTGGTCCCTTTATCAAATAACAATATACTATTGAACTTATTAATTTATCATAAAGCACCATACAAACGTCTGGCCTTCATCCTATAGCATTACACAATTACACTGGTTCCACATTCATTTATGTCTGGTCCCTTTATCACAGACCATCATACAAATATCTGGGCCGATCTTAAAGATTCATAAAATAGTTTTCATACTCAAGCATGGATTTTATGCTCAAGCCTTATTTCTTGTTATAGTTAAAAATTGATAACAAAAACCCATTTTTTCAATGATTTTGAAAAAATTAGAAGAGACTTAAAGCCAAATACTGTTTTCAATGTCAATACACTAGACGTTTTGATTGTTTAACCTGAAGTCAGTTACAAGATAGCTGGTTTCAGCACAGAATCCATGCTTGAGCATGAGAACAGTTTCATGAATATTGGCCCAGGTTTTTACTTCATCGAGCAATATACAAATGTCTGGTTCTAATAGAAACATGGAACTAACTAATATTTATGATACACGTGTCTTAAATGGGCTTAATGATATCATAGATTCTTTAACATACCGTTAACCATACGTATACTGAGAAGAACATATTAAAAGGCACTCTGAATGTCCCAGGAGGTTTACTCGGTTAGAAATCACATGTAAATTGGAATCAGAAATCAAATAATCCCTTAAACCTCTCCTAGAGACAAAACTTACATATAACCACAACACTGTTCATGGCCCTGCGGATCACAATGAGATGAGCATCCAAACTGCCGTACACTGGTACCAGCGCCTTACATACAACTACATATGAGGGTGTCTAAATTGTTTTAAGATAGTTAAATTTCACAAGAAACACAGCCAAAAACGTTACTTCTCAAATTTTATCTAATGATAACCTAGAAAAGGGAGTAGGACACATAAGATGGTGAATTAGTCTATTATGGGTCAATTTGTAAACATTACAATTAGGTGTCAACTAATCTTTTTTGGAAAATACAATTTCTAAATTTTCAGTTTGTAAGCAAAAAGACAAAGGAATGATATGTTATAGATAGGAAGTATCACAGTAGCTCAAACATGTTCAGCAATTTTGTTGACACAAAACAAATATACACAGAAATAATTCATGGAAATACTGAATGTGTCAAAATCAGTTATAAGAAGAGAAAATATAATTGATACCAATTCAGATGACAAATGCAAAGGAAATATAATTAATTTCTTTCTTAATGGCCAAGTGGTTAATTGTCCACATACCATTGGTTATGAAATAAAATCTAAGTTTAGAAATTGGACACACAAAACATCTGTGCAACAGAAAGCCCAAGCTTATTGCCATACAAATTAGAGTTGTTTCTTTACCAATGTCTACAGACAATACTGGTGACCTTGACATTGATCTGAATCACTGAATTATTAGACAAATTTCTATCAATAGTGACCATAGCCTTGACCTAGGAATCCTGAAACAGGAACTCATTTAGGGTGCTATCATGCTTGACTTTTGTTTCAAGTTTTATCAAATCAAATCAATAGAGCAATGACACTGAATTGGGATGGAAGGTAAAGGGACAAAATTCAGCCGAAAATGATGGGACAGGACAGACATGGTAACACTAAGACATCCCCACCCCCTGCCCTATAACAAATACCAATGAATAACACTTAATCTCATGAGGAAACTTATACTGCCTATTATTATTGCTTGGCAGTCATCATCAATATTTGAATCATCCAGAAACACTGAAAAATGTTAACAGATTTTCTTGTGCACATGTAGCTGGAAGTGTAACTCATGCTAGGTATATCTCAGAAATCACCTGTGCTCATGCATGCAAGAGGCTTGATGGCTGCCACAGATACCTGATTCGTATTGTAGAAGTACTCTTCTCACACAGAGCAAGATGGTATAATACAATAATACATATAATATGTAATGACAATAATTGTGTGTAATCATCACAAAAACAGGTTGGGGGGGGGGGGCAACATATAAAATATAATATAGTAGCTCATGTAGCCATCAGAAAATAGACCATTAGTCTATATCAGTCCTCTCTGATCTCAAACCAGTTAGGACATGTCTGTTATTTTGAAATTTAAAACATATCCCAAGCTTTTTGATCCTTGAGAAAAAGTTGTCAGCTTTTTTCAACCTAGCTAGTTCATCTCTTTTTGGCAGGTTCTCAATTTTCATACCGTCAAATTGCTATCCCATGATAATTATCCAAACCAAGATTGAATTATTTCCTATCAAATAAACCCAAAAATGCTATTTCACTATCAATCAACTGAAGTACTACATAATCCATTCCCCAAGCGAGAAGGGGTGATCTGAGTGTACTGGAATTCACTATTTCAAAAGTGCACCTTAGGCCTTCCCATATTTTAACCTTGCTCTCAGCTTCAAGAGAAGTCTCTATTTAAAATCAAACCGATAATGATTTCAACCCTGATTTTATTATTTCCAGTGACCTATTTGGGTGTTGTAACATTCTGTTGGTTTGCTGCGTATTGTCTGTAACTGTACATACCCCTTATCTGAACGCACCTCCAGGTTGAAGTAGTCAAAGCTGATTTTGATGCGGCCTTCTGGAGTAGCATGGAAGAAGTAGCTGCACTCGACTTCCTGTGGATACTTGTTGGGGAAGCCTGGGGACATGAATGTACCCTTCTGTTGCATTTTGAAGGAGAATTTGTGATCGCAGTTAGCTGCCTTATCTGTAATTAAAGAAAAATAACATTGTTAGATTAATTAATGAAGCTATATATGGTATCCTAATATTACTTGTTTTTATACTGCAGGTATGTTTACATAGTGCTGATCAATGGTGCTACACTGGAAATCACAAAAGTGTTCTACAAAGCTCTAAAGGACGTTTATTGCAGAACAGGAAGTCCGGGAGCCTGACATTGTGTACTGCAGTCTACTGATCATGATCAGCAAACATTACCCTCAGGTATCTACAGACATCACAGCTAATTGGGTTCTAGTCTTAAAAGTGCAAACAATTCAAATAACATCCAATCAAGTTTCAACAATGCTGTCTGTCCTCTTTTCTCAGCCCAACAAGTGTCATCCCAGGAAATTAATAACAACTAAAATACAAATGATACCTGAAAGTAATATCCTCTGTCAAAATGAACTAGTAAAAAGCTAATTTGATAATGATGCATGGGTAAACATTTCCTGCAATCTGATTGGCTGACACCTGCTTTGTCACTGCACTGTTGCTATCTCAGCACACCTGTATGTTGATAGATAGAAGCACTAGGGAATAGTTTTGGGGAAGTTTCCTCGCAAAGGGGGTNTATTGAATGGCTTTCTGTTCAGATACCACCTATGTACTTAATCAGTTTAGAAGGGTACCATTTTTAAAGTACAAAAATGAAAATGTAACTGCATCAAAGAAGTACAATATTAATAACCCCATGTTCAGAGAATGTCTAACTTGACAACAAACCTCTGACCCATTTTAAATGGTCAGTGCTCTAAGGCAATCCAACTGTTTGCTGTTATTATATTTAATACTTCATAAGAATTCTTCCAAACGGTTTCAATTGTATACCATATAGAGTATAAGGCAAAGATGTACCAAAACAATCATTTATTTAACCGTTGTTTCATCTGCACATGGAAAAGACTGCAGCTTTGAATGGTTAATTTTTCAATGTAAATAGAGAGGACTGTTCTGAATAGTCAAAATTGAAAGTGATACCTTCACAATTTGCAAAATTTTGTAATAAAGCATTATATCATCATAAGTATGTCTCCAAAAAAATAGCACAAATAAGGATTTCCAAGGATTTTCTTTTATTAATAACATTTCAAACAAGTAAAATATTTTCTAAACTTTTCCCTTCCAATAGAGTGCAGTTCAAATTCTCCATCTCAAAGAAATCTCAATATATGATCTATTTTTCTCAGACATAGTCTTATATATATTTGATTTTATATGTAGTGATATAATAAAGCATTTATCTACCTCCATGGAGGAAGATTGTATGTTTTGGAGTCAGAGTCCAAGGGAAAACTTACTTTAAAGGATGATGAATTATTTAATTGATCAAAACTGAACTTATTAATTGTGTAAATAGGGACTGATGGGGTAACAATTTACAGAAAAAAAATGTTACAATAGTTGTTTAATTTTTATTTTTCCACTGATTGTCAAAACATTTTCTTGTATTCCTCTGACCAACAAGACCATCTCTAGTATTCCAATGATCCTCAAGACCATTTCTAGTATTCCTCTGATCGTTAAAACCTTTCCTAGTATTCCAATGACCCTAGGACCATCTCTAGTATTCCTCTGATCGTTAAAACCTTTTCTAGTATTCCAATGACCCTAGGACCATCTCTAGTATTCCTCTGATTGTTAAAACCTTTTCTAGTACTCCAATGACCCTAGGACCATCTCTAGTATTCCTCTGATCGTTTAAACCTTTTTCTAGAACTCCAATGATCCTCAAGACCATCTCTAGTATTCCTCTGATCGTTAAACCTTTTCTATTATTGCAATGATCCACAAGGCCATCTATAGTATTTCTCTGATTGTTAAACCTTTTCTTTTATTACAATGATCCACAAGGCCATCTATAGTATTCATCTGATTGTTTAAACCTTTTCTAGTATCCCAATGATCCTCAAAACCATCTCTAGTATTCCTCTGATCGTTAAACCTTTTCTATTATTACAATGATCCTCAAGACCATCTTTTGGAAAATGATCTTCCACCCAAACAAATGCAATGTGTGACTAAAAACAAAACTCCAATAGTCCATAATTATACTTTACATGGACACATACTGGAACATCTTAGACAGGCCAAGTATCTGGGTGTAACACTATCATCTGACCTTAAATGGGATTCACATATAAATACTATCTGCCCAAAAGCAAATTCTAAGCTAGGCTTTTTAAGACGAAATCTTAAAATTGGCTCAACATCAGCCAAAGTACAGGCATACAAATCATTAGTTCGACCATCACTTGAGTATGCCTGTACAGTATAGGACCCTTACACCCGAACAAATATTGACAAGTTGGAAATGGTCCAGCGAAGGGCAGCGTGCTATGTGCTCAATAAGCACAGGTACAACCATCGTACCTCCAGTGTGTCAGAAATGTTGGACCACCTAAAGCTGCGCCCTCTAGCAGATAGACGTAGAGATGCTCGTCTGACCATGCTTCATAACATTGTAAACCAGAAAGTCGCTATCGTAAAATCAGACAGATTAATCCCTACAGTTAGAAAATCCCGAACAAACCACCAGTTTTCGTATCAAATTCCCCACTCAAAAACCCAGACCAGAAAGGCATCATTCTTCCCTCGAACTATACCCGAGTGGAATAAACTCCCACCTGACATTATTTCGAGCCCCACAACGGAATTATTCAAATCAGCCCTCTNTTCCTCCGATTGTTAAAAAACTTTTCTAGTATTCCAATGATCCTCAGGAACATCTCTAGTATTCCTCTGATCGTTAAAACCTTTTCTAGTATTCCAATGACCCAAGGACCATCTCTAGTATTCCTCTGATTGTTAAACCTTTTCTAGTATTCCAATGATCCTTAAGACCATCTCTAGTATTCCTCTGATTGTTAAAACCTTTTCTAGTATTCCAATGATCCTTAAGACCATCTCTAGTATTCTGCTGATCGTTAAAACCATCTAAAAGTTTTTGCTTTCTACACCAGAATTGTATCGACCAGATCAAGCACTCCTCTTGGGACAACACATTTTATCACTGCAGGTCTCTCTGACGAATAGTGTGATGACAGCACATTTCCTGAAAAAAAATTCTTAATCTATTTACTATTGTCCTTCAGAATAATCCCCCACCCTGGGGACATCCTCAGTGTAACGTCCTGTCCATAGTGACAGCGACGGTAACTGGATTTCATGGTGCTCAGTGTATATTCACCTACACATTTGTAAGCTAACACAATGTTACAGGGAGATACTATTTTAGCTACACAGACAAGTGAATTATAGATATCATACTATAATCTGGATTTCCTACAGAACAGCAGCTAATCTCTCACCTCAACATAGCCCTTATGTCACAATACCAGAGGAATGTCAACCACAATTAAAATGAAGTTGTCTCATCATTTTCATGTCACATCACATTGTTAGTACAAAATAACATGTCGAATTGAAAAGCAAATCAATCAGGAGCTCCTCAAATCTAAGGACCGATGAACAGAAGACTGGTCACCATGGCTACCATGATTGTGAGTCAATGGAGCAGAACGATGTAGAGACAAGTTACAGGTCATTTTCTTATCTTTGTGTGGTTTACAGTATCAGAAACTCAAACCAACAGTAACATATCAAAATCCAGGAAGACTTTGTTGAAACAAAGAAGCAAATATCAGCAGACATCACTGACCATTATTTAACCTAATAAGCATATAACACTTACACAAGTCTAGAAAACTATATTCCTCAATACCATATACATATCTGTTTATTCCCAGAGAGCATTCGTGTCGCAAGTAATTTACTGGCTCCTGAGCCAGATCGGATCATTAATCTTGTTTGGCCTCCTTGCCATGTGGAGGAGTGTGGGATGTACTGGGTAGTAATTGGTCAAAGTGGGGATGAGACCTAACGTTACAGGATCATATTTCCACACTACAATGGTCGACATGGCTCAATTCTACTTACATAAAATTACATACATTAATAAGGAGAAAATAGTGTGCACTCCCTTCAAATCCTGTTACACATGCATTTAAATTCTTCTATTAACTCATAAGGTTGTTAGACTTTGAACAACGTTACAATCTTGCTTGTAGTGGACACAACTACAATCTTGCTAGTCTAGACACATTGACAAATTGATAGTCTCAACCATTCAACTACCTTGCTAGTCTAGACAAATCTACAAGTTGTAAGTTTCAACAATTCTACAACTTTGCTAATCTGAACACATTTACAAATTTTAAGTCTCAACAGTTCTACAATCTTGGTTGTCTAGACACATCTACAAGTTGTTTAAGTCCAAACAATTCTAAAACCTTGGTAGTCTCGACACATCTACAGGTTGTTAGTCTCGACAATTCCACAACCTTGCTAGTCTGAACACATCTACAAATTGTTAGTCTCAGCAATTCTACAACCTTGCTAGCCTAAATACATCTACAGGATGTTAGTCACTGAAGTCCAAACACCTTAATGCTTTCATAACAAGTCAGAAATGGCAATTGATAATGTCATAATCCAGGATTACCTCCCTTTTTTGTTTCAAGTCAGAGCCTCACTATTCCTTAAACAATCAGCCAATTATAAAATATAGTAGTGCACAGAATTAGGTCAGTTTACTTGTACTCATCAACTTTGTCATCCTTAAAAATATCTCAAAAATGATTAGATCATAAGAGATGATATTGTGCCACCTTTTGATAAACATGAGGTGCACGGTGTGATCCAATTTGCATCAATTTGTGATACATGAAGCCTAATAATAATGAATATTAAAGTACACCAGCTATCCAATATAGGAAGCTGAAGTAGGTAATATAGTAGGAATGACAGCAGGTCTGATAAGATGTCCAGGCTGATGGCTATATTTTCTGTTGAGATGCAGGTGTAAAGTGCAGCAGCACTACAGCTATGTAGTGTAGTGTATTAGTATGTAATTATTATAGGTGTTAGCCTGACTGTACTTCAAACAGGCATGGCAATGGAAAATATACCCTTCTGAAATTA